AATATTTTAGGTTTCAACTCGAGATGCAAAAGTTACTATCGCGGGAAAGTATGCCCTATCTAACAGACATTGCGACATCTAATGACTGTTATAAGTGTTCAGTATATAAAACATTGTCTTAAATGATATAGTAATTATAACATCGGAATCTAGCACAGTTTCCCAGCGATATTTTTTTATATTTTATCTATTAAATATTATGTAATATTTTTACGCGCTATTAAACACATTTAAGCTGTGGTCCATCAATCGCTGTCCTGGCAAAATCAAGAACAGAAGATGAAAAAACGCCCCTACACATAAGCAAATGTATCTAATAAGCTCTTCGGTATTATCGAACTTACTGATTAGCTAAATAAACAGAATTTTTTTAATTAATGCTATTACCAATTTACGAATTTTGCCTTAATGTATACTCCGTAATATACTTACTTGAATTCCTATAAGGCTTGCGCATATCACATTACATAACACTTGGATACCAGTTGATATCATGAAGGAAGATTCTAATAAGTAAACATACCTGGCGACGAAAATAATTCATAAGTCTGGTAATAGATAACATAACATGACAAAAGATAAATAACGAATCGATCTCTTAACTAATTGTAAGGCCATTTCCGGATAAATTAATATGCTAGTTTTTAATCAGCGCAACAATGCGCGACAATGGAACATGCAGGAAGTACAAACTGTATTGCAAGCTGATGTTTTCGCAAGCACATGACCAATTCACGAAAAATCGTCTTCTCTTTGACGCAAATATCTTCGGCTTCTACATCTCGATGTGTTCTCTTTTTGCTTCTCGTCAAATGGCTCGTCTCATTGACGTCTTCTTTCAAGACAATGTTATGCTCTAATTGATACCTGGACAAATGTCAATGTCCAACTACAGATCCGGAATTTTATCCAAGAATCTGCTCTGTACAGTTGGAACATTTGTGTTTTCTTGTTAAAGAATATGACGGTTACATTTTTGTATCTGTAAAATATACAGGGTGTCTGACACAAGAGGACTCCTACGAAAAATCGTGGTAGATTAGATCAGACTAAGAAGAAAAGTCATGTACCATTTTACAAAATTCGCAATAGTTATAGAATAATTTATTGAAACGTTTGAGCAAATGAGCGCGTCGAAAGCGGTATGCCGGGCTCGAAAAGCGTGTCAGATAGCTTTGTATACCAGATCTCCTAGCAACGGCGAGCGAGAGGTGGAGCAACGCGTGACGTAACGCGCCGGAAAAAAAACAGCGAGCGATGTATTTACGTCCCGTGTCGCTAACCGCTCCTGCTTACTGCTCCGAGCCCGGTCCACCGCTCTCTACGCGCTCATTCGCTCAGACGTTTCAATAAACTATTCGATAACTATTGCAAATTTTGTAAAATGGTACATGACTTTTCTTTTTAGTCTGATCTAATCTACCACTATTTTTCGTAGGTGTCCTCTTGTGTCAAACACCTTGTATAACACTTTCATGTGTTAATTTATTGTCGTTGTGTTAATTGAACTCAAGTATTAATCTGTTAGAACAACTAAAAAAGTATAATAACCAAGTTCCAGATAAATCAATTGCATTTTTTGCAATTTCGACTTTTTATATTGGATCCGTCATCTTGGATTTTCACATTTTCAAATTTCGATTAGAAACTTCAGATTAGAAATCAGTGATCTCAAAAAACTCCCATACACCTAGTTTCGGCATATCGTTTATGGGAATAATTTTTTTACTATAGAATATCTTATAGAAAACAAAATTTTGTAATTAAAACTTTAACTTTGAGCTGTTATATTGAGCCAATCGTCGATAATTTTAGAATTGCGACTTCAGATTCAGAATTAGCGAATCAAACTCCTCCTAGATATGAAGTAATAAAGACATCGAAGTGAAAGAAGTGTTTTTTTTTAATTTCACGAGGTGTGACGTATATGTCGTGCTTCAAAGGGTTAACATGTCCATATTAAATTAACACATGTGTAGACCGTTTGTGATATGTAACATCTGTTAAATTTAACACAAATTTTTCAACTATGTGCAATGTTTATTAAAAAGTTGCGTTTACCCAACGGCTGCGAATAAACTGCAACCATGTTGTACGTATGCTATATATGTTGTGTCAACGCACACCATAATCGATATGGTCCCTAGAACCGTCATATACGAATGGAATAAAATGGGATAGTAGTATTTCTCCTGGTCTACACGGTACTCGACCTCGAGCAGTAACCTTCGCGGGCGACTGACATTGAGAGGCATTACAATGTCCATGATTTGCGGCGACACCGGTATTATCAAGTATAGTAACATCGACAAATAAATATAAGCTGCAAACAATTGATATAGCCAGTATAACGATAATAGGGTGCTGTTTGCAAGATGAATGAACATACGATCTGTTAAGTATATAATTGTATTTAATCCAACGGCAAAAATCAAGAAAATTTTACTTGTATAAGGTCTCTTACTTGCATAAAATATTACTACTTTTCTACCGAACGTAACGTAATCCTCCATGATCTCGATATCTGTGGAATTGGTAAACACTTGCCAATGATATTCAATTAAAGAAAACAAGTGCCGCATCTAAAGATTTTATAGTAGAAAGATTAAGGTGACAGTAACACGCGTGGACAAGATTTGTAAAAAATTTAATTATACCTCCTTAGTCTTAAAGATAAGGTTGAATAATTTCGCAAAGCAGCCGACTAGAAATAATATTGAAAATATGCACTCGACTGCGATATCAATGTTACCCCAACTATCGAGCATTCCTATTATCTGAGAGAATGAAGCATCGCTATGAAAGATGTCAAAGAAGCCATGATATTGTGGAATAATTGTGACGTCGTAATATTTTCCTATGATAACGAATAGCTATCACTATTCAAGAGCCAAATATTAGCCAGGGAATCAATAAATCGGAGATCTAAATTAAACGCGACTGATTCTGCAAACGGTCTACATTTTGTAAAGACAAATGCAAATCAAATATAAAAACGTTCTTACTTACTAAACAGCTGCGAAATCAAATTGTTACCTCCGCTGTAATATAGCTGAGGTCGATTAACACTATCGTACACGGTATTAATATCCTCAGGGTTCTGCTCTGATAAGGCCACACGCCAATCTGTGACATGAAGGTCTTGTTAATCCGGTAGTAACGTAGTATAACCGATTGCATGGTGAACTTGCCGCCACGATAAAAGATCAGTGAATGAACCGCGTTATACATACGTACTGATTGTATAGGGGATATACCTAGACAGCATGCACGTCTAAAAAACATTTTCAAGACATCGTTAAGTTGTCTTTTAGACATGTGTGCTGTCTGGGTAGTAATCAAGTTTGACACGTTCGATATTCATAATGACACGTGCCAGTTATTCGTTCAGACCCGATCATTTACAGTAACTGTTCCGAGCAACGGGTCTTCGCAGTGTTATCGATTTCTACGATACGAATGATTAGCGCTTTCCGATGTAACAGTCTAACTCAAGACTTCCATAAGAGAACCGAGTTTCGTATTATCTTTTTTTAAAACGGAATTGCAAAAATTATAAGAATTTAATAAGTGGTGAATTTAAAAGTACCTCACAATTTATTCGTATATTGCATTGTTTATGACAGTTGTGACAATCTTATTAGTTTGTATATATTTATTTATATTAATTTATTGAAAATGTTTTAATTACCTTTTCTTGCGTTACCTACATTCTAAAGAACTATTTTTAATTTTGAATGTCTTATTGTTTCTAATTGTTTTCTATCTTATTACGTTTACGCGTAAGGTATTCTTGTATTCTTAAGTCACAAGACAGTTATTGTGCGTTACTTTAAGACGAAGATTTAAAGCACAAAACATTGTCTTAAGAGTACAAGACAGCCATTCTGCTCAGGTCCTAAGAATCATGAAGAAAACTGATAATAGTTATACTCATTGTCAGACGTTTTAATTAATTACTCGATAACTATTAGGAATGTTTGCAAAATAGTACATAACTTTTCTTTTCAGTTTAATCCGCTCTATCTGTATACGAGCGGATGGACACCTTATCTGTAACGCTCTGTATAAGTAAAAAATTATAAGAAAACGGTGTTAGAACTGAGATTTATATCTCACAATCAGTGAGACGCAATTCTAAATTAAGATTTGTGCATTTCAAATTTCTTTTTATATCTATACTGTTTGCGAAATGTAGATTTCAAGATTTAACTTTTCGGCAACTCGGAAATTATTCCTCGAAAGTAAATTGTAAACTTTATGATGGAAAACTCGACACCAGTTACAAATACACCTGTTTTACGCTTATTTGCTTGTACATCTCTCCGCGCTTTCTCTCTTTCTCTTCTTCTTTCTTTCTAGAACACTCGCTCTATCTTTCTAAAACAGATCGAGTAATATGCAAAGTATGGTGGGTACTGTTTTTTACATTAATCACAACAGGCACCAAAAATTCCTTTTGAAAGTTGAATGTCCTAACAACATACTTAATTTTAATTGCAATAAAACTTCTCTAACACATCACATTGTAACTTTAATATGACAAAATTCGTGAAGATAGCCCTTTTCTGCAACTTCTAAATGCTAATTTTTCAAAATCGTGACGTGATGGAGTAATTTGGAAATCGGATTTGTGTTCAGCGTTCAACAAACTACAACAAACGACTAGTTCTGTCTCACTCGATAATTCTATAATGTTAAATAATTAATATTATAAAATTTAATAAATCATGTTTTTATTTATTGTAAAATTTATTATAAAATTACCATCTGCACTATCCAAAGAAATAGGACACAATAATGCAATGTAATATTTAAATGTAATATTAAATGACAATTTTTTATCATGAGAATTCATACTATTCAACAAGTTTTTCAGAGGCAGATAGAGTTTCAGCCATTATCTCGTGTAGTATACAGCTTTCTATCAACGTAAGTATAATAATATTCTTCTAAACCTTGACTTTAAATCTTGCATTCTAATTTGCCCATATAAATACAATGTTAGCAATATACTAGCAATTTGCCAGTAAATCGAAGCAGAATATTGCGACAAATTAACAATTGACACTTGCATTCTAATTTGCCAGCGAATGCTGCAGACAAAATTTGGTAGTACTTAGATTGTACCAGAAACTAAGCAGAATTTATCACATCGTAATTATTTAAATAATGGTAACAAATTTCTGCTTAGTTTCCACAATCAATTTGCCATGATATTCTGTTAGCAGATTCTCAGGCAAAATGTAAAACTTATAATGATATCATAATGATGTCATCATAACTTGATTCTTCGCCTAAAATTTATTATCTTACCTTGGCGACGTTACCAAACGTCAAAGTGATAAGACTGGTAAATAGATATTTTTAAGCTTTATAATTTTTGTCTGAAACATTTTTTCAATAAATGAAAATTTTCTGAAATAATTAATCGTTCAGAAACTTTTGGCACTCACTGCATTTCCACTGACATTCTGCCAACGAAATTTTTTCGACAGACTTAACTATCATACTTTAATTTTATGCAATAGATATGGTTCATATTATTAGTGATTTTTCAGAATTTGTCTGTTAAAATTTACAAAACCGTATGTTGATTTTATTCTATAATACAAAATTATTACATCTGTGAAATGTAAAAATAACTTTTTAATTAATTTTATCATCAAAAATATATTAATTTTGCATAAATTTATTATTTCAAATTACTTAGAGATTTGCATTTGTTTTCTGTCAAAAGATTAACATAGTATTTAACATCACTTAGCATATCCATATTATGTTAAATTAACACAAAAATTTGTGTGGACCGTTTGGAATATGTGATATCTTAAATGTGTTAAATTTGACACAAATTGTTCAACCGTGCAACTTTATTTCGCGAACACGCAGTTCACACTGGCACATACGCGCATCGTATAAACGCATCGAACTCGCAAATTGTTCGGGCGATTAGAATACACTATTTCCGTGTAAGAGTCGATCGTGGAACCAATGGTTGTGATGAAAAGCTGCGATGAAAAGGGTTTCAGTGCGTGAGAATAATTGCACACTATGCCATAATGGTATAATTACGGTCGTCCATCCTGCAACACAAGGAATCGTTAATGCCTCGATACTTCGCATGGTGGCGAGTATACGCAAAGCAAAGCAAGTGTCGTGGATGTAGCTCGCATTCCTAGTAATTCTAAGAATGACCGAGCGAAAGGACATTTTGCAAAGTCGGTATTACGCGATTCCTAGATTATACATGACCTTAGCAGGACTATGGCCGTACCAGTCGATTCGCAATAGATATCTGCGTTTTGTACCAACGTTTACAATCTGTTCAATTGTTCTAATACCCATGGTACATATTCGGATATAATTAAGGAAAACACTCTTTATAAGTCTCGGGAAAAAGTTTTTACTTTTTTAAAATTGTCAAAATTTTGTTGTAATGTAAATGTAAATGTAATGTAAGTGTAAAATCTATCGATATGTGTCTTTATATCTTTTTATATGTTTAACAATATTTGCAACGCTCTTTTAAGCTCAACTACCAACCTGCTCGTTTCGCACAGAAATATATCGTCTTTTTTTGTAAACAAAAGATACGTTAAAACTGAAATGTTTTAGTTCTCAGAGATATATTAATTATCATGTCATTGTCAATGTTTCACAATTTTGACCAATATTTTTTAACATATTTTATAACATAGCTACTGTATGTAAACATCGCCATGACGGATCTCGACGATTTGTTTGAGTGCATGCCAACGATACTAATCACGATAATATTCAGTTTTAAATTAGCGAGCTTGATGGCAAACAGTGAGAAAGTAAATAATGTGACTTTATTAATGCTACTAACGTGACACCGTCAAATTCTCAATAATAAACATTGTTAATGTAAAACATGCGGATGCATGTTTGTAGATAAAAGCCTGTCTTAAGACGATAGAAAACGATTGGTTGTCATTAAATACGGATAGCGAGAGGGCTATTTTGCAACGGCATACCACATACGGGCAGTACCTGACGATATTTTATGCAGGTGCGTATCAAAGAGAAGACGGGTGTTCTAGCAGAAAATACTTGGCAGAAACTGTACGAGGGAGAGTTAAACATTCGCTAGAGAATTTTTTTTACAAATAACTTTTATAATAATGTCAAAGTAATTTGACCGAGTCTACCAGCGACGTTTTTTGTGTAACATGCGTATTTCTAGTCTTTATGGTGACAACGGGATTACTCTACATGCTCAAGTCGATCGTGTTAATAATGATAGAGGATACTTCGAACTCGACCAGACTGGCCGTAACAAAACTACCCTTTCGCGTGGAATACGGTTACAGAATAGATCAGTACTTCTATCCGATACTAATTCATTGTTATCTAACTGTATACTCTCACGTAACCGCCACGGTCGCTGCTGACTCCTTCTATTTCGCTCTGATCCAACACGCCTGCGGGATGTTCTCTGTTGTCGGGTAAGAGTATCAGGGACGATGTTTTAATAACGGAGATAACGACAAACGGCGTGAGACCGCATGTTATAAAAGTATTTTGATATATATATATCGCCTATTCCGGATTCTTTTCCATTTCAATAAAATCAACGATGTCAATCCTGCGATCTGAAAATACAATTTGCCAAGAACATTATCATTTTAGCGGCCTCCAGACACATGCTGGAACATATTGGCGAGGATATCGATGCAAATTTTAATCAAAAACCCGACAAGATAGACGACAAAAATTACAACAAAGCTCTTAATTGCTTACGCAAGCACCTGCATGTAATAGAGTAAGTGTTATTTTTAATTGCAACAATATGTATGGTGCATCCATCGTATCATCTATCGTTTTGTAACCATCGTATCATCTATCGTTTGTGCTGAAATTTTGTCGCAGATTCGCAGAACTAATCGAGTCTACATTTACACGAATATTTCTGGTCAGCGTTAGTTTAAATATGATTGGTGGCAGTATATGTGGTATTCAGGTATCGGCACGAATTTCTTTACGTTATAATCCATTAACGGAGATTGTTGCAGCAAACGAGAAGTATTTCTTACTTTGACGAGAATTAATGTTTGACAAAACTACTACGTGCATCTTCCGACCCAGATATTTTTCATGCAAATCAACCTTTCATAAATTAATACAAATGAAAATGTGTGTTTCAGGTGTTGATGAATCTAAACGATGCGAAAGATATAATAGCACCCCTAGCTATCTATGTTGCTCAACTCACCCATCTTTTCTTCCAATTTTGGCAGGCTCAATTTTTATTGGATTACAGCGCCGCCCCGTACGAGTCGATGTAAGAAATCAGAATCCTTCAAAGCTCATTCAAAAGTCACTTTTCGAAACGCTGTCATTTGAATGATCAAGAAGACGCGCAGGGACTGAGAACAAGCAACAAACGTCTTATCATTATTTATTAATCGTGATTTCAATCATAGTTGCAGGGCAAATTGGTATTACACTTCGGAAAGATGTAAAAAACTTTTGCTTCTAATTATGAGTAGAACCGTATCACCATGCAGAATAACTGCTGGCAAAGTGGCGACTCTGTCCATTGAAAGTTTCGGCGTAGTGAGTACCAACCTTATCGTTCGTTAGTTTTCCAGATTTACTTACTCTCCCGCCTAAAGATGTACCTCGTGATCTTATTCCTCCGAAGGTTTTGAAAACGTCGATGTCCTATTTCACGATGCTGCGGTCCTTTCATTGACAGTCTCAGGACGTGTGCCCAGGCCAGCTTGATGATTCATGATTGTAAAAACTTGTAAAAACTATATCTATATGTAGATCATCATGACATTTTTACGCGACGATTGCCTCGAATTATTTTAACTGTCAGAAATACCAAAAATACAAGGTTTTATGTCAACAAATCTCGAACCTTTTCTTCCCCGCACTATAAAATTGCGAATTTAGAAGCGATATGTTGCATAATTCTTTTCGCAAATAATCGAACTTAAGAGCAAAATTCTCGTATACTTGACAAGTTAATAACTCAACTTATCATCAGTATTATTCAATGAATGGTAAGAGCGTTGTTGATTCCAAACATGGCAGTGAGATATAGTTATAGATATCACTCTTCGTAAAAGCGATCGAAAGGTACGATTATATAGTAGCAACTGTGAGGGGTAATATAATTGTACGCCGCGGGAAATAATTCCGTAATGTCGTAATTACAGCCGTGCAACGCTACCACACAAGGAATAGATAATAGCTGTTCTCGGCAGCTTACCGAGGTGACAAGTATTCGCAAGGAATCGTTGATAGTTCGTGGTCTTAGTTGTTCCTGAAAATGGACGGACGAAAGAACATTTGGCAAAGTCATTTTTATACAATTCCTAGAGCGTATATGAGCTTGATTGGGATCTGGCCCTATCATACATTTCGCGACAGGTGTTTGCTTTTTGTGCCAATGTTCGCGTTTTCTATCACTATCCTTGTGCCTCAAGTACGTGGCCACAAATTGTGTCAAGCCGCCTATCTTTTTTTCCTGTTGCATACTAAGAATCCGGATATATTAATGTATACTTTGTGTTATCTTGTACATTTATTGCATAATATATTTTCTATATACTATTATACATGTATGTATATTAAAATATGATATATTCTGTAATACTGACGTAGTTACTGTATCTTCTAATCGCCGCGGCGGATCTCGACGATGTGTTCTCATGCACTCCGTCGATGTGGATCACCATAATATTCAGCTTTAAAATAGGGTGGTTGATGATAAACAACAGGAAAGTACGTGATAAATGCAGACGAGTTCAATGATGCGACAAAAAGTGCACAACAGAAATTTTAATCGAAAATTCTTTGGTGGAAATAGGATGAGTGATTCTTTCAACAATACTCCATATATTGGGTTGATGCATAAGTTCGTCCCGTTTTTAAACATTCGCGCACTTTATATACGAATTCGGTCTGCTATCAACTTCACACTCATATGACGTATTAAACAATTAAAAGTAGCAATTGAACGGAAACTTTACTGTCAAAGTTGTCGTCGATTGATGCTTGTGAGTCGGCATATTATGCTTTTTTATTTCCGAAAAGGCAAAATTGCTGTTCGGACCAAAAGAAAAATATGTTCTGTCTACGGAGAAGAGAATTGATGATCCCACCGTTCGTAAACGGTTTCGACGATTCCGTAATGGAAATTTTAATCTCACGGATGAGAAACGTTCTGGACGACCTTCTGAAATTGACAGTCACGAAATTTTGGCTTTGATTGAAACCGATCGTCGTAAAACAACTCGTGAGATTGTCGATATCACTGATTAAATGTATATCGACAAAATATAATAGATAGGAAATTTTTGGTTTGAAAGCGGGACGAACTTATGCATCAACCCAATAATTATACAGGCTGGCCGGTGAAGGCTGGCAATCTCTAGTGGACTTGTAGTGTAGGCAAAAATGATCCAACAACTCATTTAAATAAATTTTTATTTACTTTCGTTTAATTTTTAAATTTATTTAAATCAAATCAATTATGTTAAAAGTTATAATAATTATTATTTAGCTATTATGTAATTTATCATTATTATTATTTAACTGTAATGTAACTTATAATAATTATTAAAACTTATACCTTAGATATAGCCGAAAGTATAAGTTTTAATTGTTTTAAAGATCCTTTACGAAATATAAAAATAATTATTACAACTTATTAAGATCTGAACAATAGGATACAAGTTATTTAAGAATATTATTTTAGAAATTTTAATTTTAAAGACAAAAATATTTCGGTAAAGAAGCGCTATGAGAAAAACTTTATAGGGACTTGTGGAGTCTTGGGGCGTTTTCCAGCAAGGACACAATGCGACACAGTGTAACACTGTGAATCATTACATCCTTGTTGTTTGCCAATGTTAAACAAGAATGAAACGATTCACTGTGTTACACTGTGTTCTTGCTGGAAAACGCCCAGTTTTACCTACTCTACAAGTCCACGAGAAATTGCCAGCCTTTACCGAAACACCCTGTGTATAGCAAGTGTAGTTTCCTCGTTTTCTTTTTATATGAATACACTTAAACTGCAGTGGTAATTCTGGGATAAAGATCACCAAAAGAAAAATACGTGTGCCTTATAGTTGAAGACCTGTCTTAAGACGATGGAGGACGACTGGTTGTCATTGACTACGGATACAGAAAGGGACATTTTACGACGGCACACGGCATACGGACGATACATCACGCTGACATACGGAGGTACGTACGTCGGAAACATCTCGTCCGAAGATATTACACATGTTCTTCAAACTTCAGCCGAGGCTTTCAGCGGTCGCTCGGTGTAACGCATATGTCAATTTCCAGTCTTCATGCAATGCGTAGGAGTCCTCCTCATAACGAAGTCGCTCGTGGTGATGTTGTTGGAGGATACCTCAGACGCGACAGTGTCCTCCCTGGTGGCAGAATCAAAACTACCCCTCCGCGTGGAATACGGAGAAAAGTTGGACCAGTACTTGTATCCGATGGCGGTACATTGTTACCTAGCCGTATTCTCCCACATCAGCATCACGATCGCAGTTGACTCTTGCTACATCGCTTTAATTCGGCATGCGTGCGGAATGTTCGCAATTGTTGGGTAAGGGTATTACGTTCAAGATTGACAGTTATAAATCAAGACGTGAAATAAGAAGCGCGAACGCGAAGGTTGAAGAGTATACCACATTTACCTTTAACCTGCGAATACATTTTAATATCTCGTCTTCTATCCCAACCCCTCTCTTCGAGTCCAGCCCGAATGAAAAAGCGGCTGGTTTCGATCTCGCCAGGAGCATTATCATTTGAGCGGATTTCCAGACACACACTGGAACACATTGGCAAAGACAGCGACAGCAATTTCGATCTGAAACCTGACAAGGTAAAAGATGACAATTACAACAGAGCTTTGGACTGCCTACGCAGGCACCTGCATGTGATACAGTGCGTGTCAATAACTCTATGTGAGGAGACATGACTTGCAATAAATCTTCGTGTTGTCTTTAATTGCGTTCAGTTTTTCGTGACTTCGCAGATTTGCAGAACTGATCGAGTCTACGTTTACAAATATATTCCTAGTCAGCGTTTGCTTGAACATGATCGGTGGCAGTATGATCGGCATACAGGTATGTGAATGTGTTTTTATGCTGCACTTTGTAATAAAAATTTTCAATAAAGAGAATTCGGCAGCTGAAGAACAGTCGAGCTTTGATCAAAATAATTCATACCTCGCGAAAGTCTTTGGAATTTTGGAAAATTATTAAACAAATATTTCAGGTGGTCCTGAACTTGAATGACGCAAAGGATATCGTGGAACCTTTTGCTATCTATATTGCGCAACTCATTCATCTCTTCCTGCAGTTTTGGCCTGCTCAATTTCTTTCAGATTACAGCATCCTTCCTTACGAATCAATGTAAGAATGTAACTTCTTAATGTAGAAGGGATATCCGGAAAGTAAGGTTACATTTTTAAAAAATTAAAAAATGCATATATTTTAACGAAACTTACAGGTGTTGTTAAAATATAGTTGTGCATTATTTTTCAACCGTCGCCTTCAACTTCAATACATTTTGTCGGCCGTGGAACGAATTTTTTTACGCCAATATCATGAAACGCTCGCGCCAACTTCATATCACCAACAATTTCATGAACAGTACGTGAAATTTCAGGACACTTTTCCTGGAGATCGTCGATTGTCGAACGGCGATCGGAAAGAAGGTGTTCTTCAAGTGCACAATTTCAAGGAATTTCAACGATGGAAGGACGGACGTTCACGATGAAGAGAGAGGTGAACGTCCGTCTGTTGTGTCCGATGAAATTGTGTACAAAATTGAAGAACACCTTTCCGATCGCCGTTCGACAATTGACGATCTCCATGAAATGTGTCTTGAAGTTTCACGTAATGTTGTTCATGAAATCGTTAGCGATTTGAAGTTGGCGCGAAAGTTTTATGATGCTGGCATAAAAAAACTCGTCCCACAGCTGACAAAATGTATTGAAGTTGAAGGCGACTATGTTGAAAAATAGTGCACAACTACATTAACAACACCTGTAAGTTTCGTTAAAATATATGCCTTTTTAAATTAAAAAAAAATGTAACCTTACTTTCCGGATATCCCTCGTATTGTCGTAATTCTTCCGAACATGACGTGAGATTTCGAATCTGTTCGTTTTTTGCTGACGTACAATAACGATGAACGTTTGTTGGCTTTATCATAAATTTTGTTCTAATTTAAAACGACACGTGGATAATCTTGCTCCGAATTATAGTTGCAGATCAAATTGGTATTATACTTCGGGGAGATGTCGAAAACTTCTTTTCTTAATCATGAATAGAAGCGTGCTACCATGCAAAATAACTGCTGGCAAGGTCGTGCCTCTGACTATTCAAAGCTTTGGCACAGTAAGCAAATTGCACTACTATTCACGGTTGTATCTCCATAATTTTTTTGTGTTTAAAAAAGAAATTTTAATTTCGTCCCCCTCTCTCTAAGGTTCTAAAAACAATGATGTCTTATTTCACGATGCTGCGTTCCTTCAATTAATGACTTCGATACATCTCTGCCATTTGGCTTTTTAACAAAATCATAATATTCCTATATTTACTGGCGGATTGCTATAACTTCAGCGAGTAAGCGATCTGAGTTACTTCAAAGATACCAAAAATATACGATAAAAAATTATGTTCTAATAAATCTCTTATAACTTTTATTTTAATTGCAAATGTTATATTATATAATAGTACCTACATTAGAAAGAAACCATCGTTCGATTCTTTTTACAATAATCGCCGAAAAGAAATTTTTGTAATTAACAAATTAATAAAATTCGTACGGCTCAAATGTGATAAACACAAAATTAAAGGAATAAAGGACTAAGAGCCGTGACAGGGTGTTAGTGTCTAAAAATTTCATTCTAAATTTATTGCAAAAAAATATCACCTCAGCCAGGGTTTGAATCTGGACCTTCCTCTCGCTAGGCGGGCGTCTCAACCAATTCGACCATCGAGGCATACGGAAATATTTTTGTAATTAACTTGGAAATTTTTTGTGGCTTACAGTATTGATTGAACACTATTGTGAGAAAAATTTACTACCATTAAAATTAAACAATTATTTGCAGTTGTCGGTATCTATAAACGACTAAACATCTAAAACTAATCTCAATGCAGAGAAAATAAAAATTTATTAAAGAGGTTTATTGACATCTGCTAGAAGATGCTTTGGCACCGATACTAGCTTATGGATACTCCAAGAAGACAATTCTCCAATAGCTCCAAGAAAGACCCGAAACTAAGCCGTACATGCACGGCGTGAAAGCGTAAAAATGACATTACTACGATAGAATTCTCACAGTCTCTCACAATCTTCTGATATTAATCGATTGAAGATGTGCAGGCCACAATGAAGATGGAAATGCGGGAAAAGCGTGTCTTTACTTTGAAACAATTGTCGTATCAATTACGTTAAATTTGGAAGTCTCTTCCCGAAACTTTGGCAGAAAATATACTTTGACGTTACTAAGTCGTAATCAACAACTGAGTAGACCAAACAATATCTTAGATAAACGTATTGAAGCGTATATGTATAATATATTTAAAAGTTATATATTTATTTTTCAAAAATCTTTTCTTTTCCAGGACAAAAGCTAATACGTTCTTGTGTCACTGACTGTACATAGCGATATATAACGATATTTTCGGAATCACAAAAACAATTTTTACTAACATTTAAAAGTTCTTGAGATGTGGCAGTACGTATCAGAATGTTAACTCGTCACGTTGTAACTGTTTTTTTTCGTGTTACGAATGGTTTCTTCGAATTTTCATACTTTCGCTTGAACATGCTAGAACACTATACTCGCTCGTTTATTTTAAAATTATTTTAATATTACACTAAATTTCTGTCAAATTCTGTTAAATTATCATGAAAAAGAAAATCGTGGAATCTACTGTGGACGTAACTTTGCCATTAAAAATTAAAACTAAATAATTTAAAATCTTGGCACTTTTCTTTAAATCTAAGATCCTATAAATTTCGAAGTATGTAGAAATTAAGCTATGTTAAATTACAAAGACGTAACAGCACATTGTTCATCGCTGGTGTAATTTTTTTTTCAATCGTTCAAAAACCACATCAAGTTCAATCATGTCCGAAATGAGATAAAACGAAAGTGTTTAGTGGGGATCACATTTGAGACTGGTTCGGAAAAAAACGTACGTACTAATACAGAATAAGAAAGTAAACAAAAGTGTTTGATGTTTCCTTAGAGAGAAGCGATAACAAAACAGCTTTAAAAATGTAGAAAGGAAAGGATTGAAACACGAGCAAATATTCGATCGCTTATTCTTCAGCGCAATTACGATGCTATTGCCGAATAGGGAATGAAAAGAATCGATAAGTAATTTCCTGCAGTTTGTCGAACACATGGAATAGTTGATATAGTCCGCAATCTTATTCTGAAAAATGACCGGCAAGAAAGACGTCGGCCAAAACCGATACGCTGTTCTTAGATTATATCTAACCATCCCAGGTTTATGGCCATATCATAGTCTTCGCGACAGATGTATTTGCTTCGTTCCGTTGTTTGCATTCTGCTTTAGTATTCTAATACCTCAGGTATATACATCATTGTGCTGTAAAGTTACCGCTTGTGTGTTTTCTTTCTTTAAACAATCAAAAATCTAACATATTGACACGCAATTATTTAACAAACTATGATCAAATATCACACCCGCACGCACACACCTGTTAAATTTTTTTAACTATACATATAAAATTTTAATATAGTCAGAAAACAGAAAAAGTAAAGAAGAGAAAACAAATGTCAGATAAATTTTTATTTAATCAAAAGAATGTAAATATTTTACGAGAAATGTTTGTACAGTTATAGAGAAATTGTGTTTCCTGAATATTATTTTTATGCTATTTTTATTTTATACATTTTCGTCAACATTACATCAACATTGTAGTTTTGCCATATAGTTCCCATTTAATCAAACATACTTATTTTAGTCACGAAATCATTTTTCTTAAGTTGCATGTCTTCAAAAAGCTTTTGAGGGTTGTCTTTATTTATCACAGCGCGATTTCCAGAAGTTCGAAAACTTTTCTCGTACGTGTGAAATTATAAAGAAACGCATATATCTACATATGTAACTTGAAATTCTAAAAATGACTAATTTCGCCATTGCGTTAATTTTATTCTGACTCAAACACAGATACTTTACTTAGTAATCGGCTCGATAACTCTCGATGACGTATTCGAATGTATGCCAGCGATATTAATCACTATAATATTCAGCTCTAAAATATTGATCATAATGTTAAATGGTGAGAAAGTAAGTGATGAATTTTAATGTCGCGTTATCTCTTTTTATACGAAAATATGTTATAACAGCATAAAATACGCGAGCATATATTTAGGTAAAGACTTGTCTTAACATTATACAAAAGGACTGGCTATCAGTAAATACAAATGTAGAAAAGATTATTCTGCAACGACATACGAGGTACGGACAATATCTGGCGACATTTTACGCAGGTATGTACAATGATAGAACAATAGAAACTTACGAGAACATTTTGAATACATATACATATGTACGTAAGCGTGCATTTTGTTGCATTCATATCCCCCGTAATATTAGGAAACTTTATCATTGAATCGTAAGAAAACATATTTATTGTAAAGAAAATTAAATTTTTGTAATATATTTATAAGCTTGTGATTAAGGTGTCGCCACACACATATCATTTCCCCAGTTTACATGCATATTACGGCGTGTCTGTTTGTGCTTAAACCAATCATGCTGACTCTGATGGCGGACAATACCGTCAATGTGACAAAATCATCTATACCGTTTGCATCGAGATTACCTTATCGCGTGGAATACGGCCAGAGTTTCAATCAATACTTGTATCCAATAGCAGTGCATTGTTATGCGGCTGTTATCTCTCATTCCTTCATAACAATCGCGGTCGATATTTTGTACTACACCCTGATTCAACATGCTTGTGGAATGTTCTCCATTATTGGGTAAGAACAATATCTTTTGATAAGGTGAGATGCCCTTCTAAAATTGCACTCGATTACTTTAATGACACATAATCTCGAGGTCTCATTATGCCAAAAATGTCGGCATTTCTGGCGACGTTACAGACACACGCTGGAGAACATTGGTAAAAATAGTGAGGACAATTTTGATGCGACATTGGACAAGGTAACAGACGACAGTTATAGCAGAGCTTTGCAATGCTTGCGTAGACATCTTCTGGTGATAAAGTACATATGGAGAAACATCGTATAACATCTGCGTATCCATATTTCTACCATTGATATTCGATATTTATATATCAATTATAATTGGCGTTCTTATTTTACAGATTTGCGGAACACATAGAGTCCTTGTATACGAAGATATTTCTGGTGAATCTTAACTTAAATATGATCGGTTGCAGTTTATCTGGTATACAAGTATGTATCAATTTTTTTTTATACAAGTATTTTCGGAGCAAACAAATATTTTTTATTTCGATAACAATAAGCAACTTTGGAGAAAAATTAATATAAGTACCAATACCAATTTTGGAAATCGCTTTCAATAACTGCGGTATGAAATTTGGATTAACCAGTGCGAGAACCGAAAAAATGCAGAAGCAGCTGAAAATGTTTATTTTAGGTATTAATGAATTTAGACAAGAGCGCAAATGATATCGCCGGGCCCGTTACTATCTATGTTGCACAACTTATTCATCTGTTTCTTCATTTCTGGCAAGCTCAATTTTTACTAGACTACAGTGTCCTTCCATACGAATCTATGTAAGAATACAAAATCGTTCAAGCCACTAATTACTTAATTCTCCTAACTTTTTTCCGCTTTATGCTTCATGCCGTCAAGAACACTTTGAATTGAAAAATATAGTTTTATACGCTGTTGGTGCACTATTTACTATTGTTAAAAATAATCGCTAATGCAATTTACTATTGTTATAAAAAATTAAGACTACAATTCGAATTTGATGTAATTGCAACTCCTTTATCTTTAATCTTATATGACTAATTAGAACACAATTTGTATTTTTCTCTATGAATACTTTTGTCAGATTTCCCATTAATGCCTAATCTTAATTTATCTTATTTCGATAACAGCTGCAGGGCGAATTGGTATTACACTTCACAAAGATGTCGAAAACTTCTTCTCTTGATTTTGAATAGAACTACATCACCGTGTAAAATCACCGCTGGCAAAATAATAATTCTATCCATTGAAAGCTTTGCCACGGTAAGTATGAAATTTTATCATTACGTGTGTTTTCAAACTCTATTATTATAATTGCAGTTTACCAAGAAAATCATTTATTTCTTGAAGGTTTTAAAAACATCTCTGTCTTATCTCACTATGTTTCGTTCTCTCCAGTGATGCTTTGGTGCATATAACAATACGTATTTATAACATTCATCTCTTTAATGCAATAAAAATTTAATATATGACATATTTTCTTAATAATTTTTTAAGTTCAGAATATAAATGTTATTTAGCATATAACGCATACATTTTAATATAACAAATATCATCATCTTTTACTCAGAGATATACTGTTATCTTGCGTTATATCTAGAAATTTACATAGGAACATGTCAAAGTCCGCTTTTTTAAAACAATTATTAGCCTATATAGTTATACATGAATGTGCGTTGATTATTTATCGACATATACTATTATTATACATATCGAAGAATTTATCTTTCTCATGAACCCTTAAAAGATTTTTTGAAACTTAATACTCAAGGGTTTTTTGGGTCGCTGATTACGATTCTGGTGTCAGAATTACAAAATTTAAATGCAGATTTCATGCGCCATATTAGATCCACCATTATGAATTTGGTAAATCTGACCTCATGTGTAATCAGCAACTTGAAAAACTCCCGAGTACCGAGTCCCAGATAAATTGATTACATTTTTTGCAATTTTGACTTTTTACATTGAATCCACCATCTTGGATTTTCAAATTTTAAGATTTTGACTTCAGATTAGAAATCGGTGATCTCAAAAAACTCCCATATAAGCCTAGTTTCGGCATATCGTTTATGGGAATAATTTTTTGACTACAGAATATCTTATAGAAAACAAAATTTAGTAATTAAAACTTTAACTTTGAGCTGTTATATTGAGTCAATCGTCGGTAATTTTAGAATTGCGACTTCAGATTCAGAATTAGCAAATCTAAATATGAAGAGTAAAGACATGTGTGTGTGAAGCTGGCATCTCATTTCGTGAAAAATCACTAATTGTAGAGAGTTCTGACTTCCTTTAGAACTATTGTAGAACTCTCATGCGATAAAAATCCTGGCAGAAATAATTAGGAAATCATCCGGGGACAAAGTGATTTGCAGCGTGAAGTTACAAATCAGTTTGCACTTTTCAATTTTTTGGTCTTAAAAGCCAGTACTATGTGTTTAATGTATCAGGAACTCTAGAACTACTAGAAAGGAAGTCAGAACTCTCAACAATTAGTGATTTTCCACGAAATGAGATGCCAGCTTCACACACACTAAAGACATCGGAATAAAAGGAGTGTCAAACGTTCACACAGAATAGTTGATATAGTCCGCAATTTTCTTACTCTGAAAAATGATCGACAAGAAAGGCTCTATTCAAGCAACATTACAATAGTACGAGAAAAAATTATTTTTATAGAAAATAACATGTGATATACATTGGTTACGATATGTAGAAACTACATGACCACTCATACTTAATTACTTTATTTACATCTTTGAAAAACAAACAAATCTGAAAATTCTTGATGCACAATTAGTTTCAGTTTTATTACAATATTTTTTTAAAGCTTTATACAAAAATCATGATATTTTTTCTACCAGAAGTATTTAGAAATACATGAAGTTTTGACAACAACAATAAAAAATATATAAAAATATGCGAAAGTGGAATATCGTCGACAAGTAGGTTGAACATGTATCAGGTAAGAGGTATATAAATTGTATATTTTTATTAGTCAACTCAACTCGTTCATCGTGTAAAGCTGATAAACGGCCTTACTGATGACAGGCCCAAGCCGTCGTTTTTTGTCACCAAACTGAATGTTCGTTAATAATTGCTCGCCATTCTTACCAGCATTTTCTAAGGCTGTGATCAAAATTTGCGGCGAGGCATAACGTTCTACAATCGCCGTGGCTTTGTCCACAGACATGCCTTTCAATTGTAGCAACTGAGTAATAAACATTTCACTCACTTTAAACGTCTGAAAAAAACATATCGATAAACCAAAGCATTTTTCGTGTGCTGTACATAGAAATTTCCTAATATATACCCTTTGTTTAGAGGATGCTTTATTGAATTCTTTGAACTCCATCAGATGTACTGTACTACCTACATTATCTGTTCGTATGAGACGGTCTTTCTTGCATCCAACGAGTCTTTTATGCTAAAGTAAAATTGTCATTTATCGTAACAGCTGTTAACAAGCACACGTGCATGCAACTATACGGCGCTTCTCTTACGCACCTTATAAATTTGAATTAAAATCTTTGTTATACATGACAAGTACGACATAGAATCTTTATGATTCCTTGTATATTTTACGGTAAAGCCGTCTTGTACCAGACAATTAACAGAGGCTTGATATAGTGATGGGAGCGGTATAGAAAATCGGGCGTTCTTATCGATATTCTCAACTATGTACATCAAATTCTCAATACCAGACTGCTTCAATCGAAACTGCAATACAGAAAAGCCAAAACTATGCAGATAATTAAATAAAATACGGCGAAATCAAGGACGTATCAGGAGATGATAACATCTCATTACCTTTTGTTCGTGAAACCTTCCATCCACGATGCTGGCACTTAAATCATCCATTCGCTTTCTCTCTATTATGTGAGGCAAAATCAATTCATCATTAGTTTTTCGGCATCTGGCTATCCACGCAAAGTCACCGACTTTCAAACGACGAACTTCAAAGGATACACCAAGTTGCGTCAACTCCGTAAGCGTGGCATCGTGCTGAGGCTTTGTTTTTCCACTGGAATACATTCGACATAGCTAAAAAGCCTTTTTTATACTCAACAGGATCAATCGCGGCTGTATATATATACTCACCCACAAGTCTCTTGGGTGTCCACCAATAATATGATATCAAAGACGCCAGGTTCCAAAGAAATTTGCCTGTCGGCTTCTCTCGGTGGAACCTCATTTGCGTCCACCAGTCTTTTCGACGCATTCTTTTTAGTATTTCTAGCCTGTTTAACCACCGTTGCCTCTTCCCGTGCCTCAACTAGTTTACATTCTTCTTCAGGTTCCTTTCTCAACGTAGCTGTACGATCGTCTTTACTATCGGCCTCGGGAAGGCCAGCATCAACCGCTTTACTAGATTCCTGCCTCCTGTGCACCTCCAGCTTTTTATCCAGCATCGAGCACAGCTTTGTGCCGAAGTGCTGCAATATTATGCACTCCTTGCCGGACTCCAACGGCAGCGGATACCGTCTCAACGAGTCCAAAGCTTTCGTGAAGTGACCTTGTAGTTCTGAATTTCGGTGCACCGCTTCCTGCCTCCATTCGTCCAACCAGCTCTCGAATAGGCGATTCGGCCTGTCCGGCACGATTTTGATTCTTTTCATACTCCAATAAGTAAATTAAATAAATACCTTATAAGTAAATTAAATAAATACCTCATAAATACCTCATAAATAAGTACCTCATAAATAAATCACCTGCTTATTTACCAACAACACGGGCTCCTAACCTCAAAGATCGCAAAGAACGAACATTTAGCTTCAACGTTGATCATTTCTGCACGTCGTTTCTCTAAGGTGTGAAATGCAATATATTAATGTTAAACATTATCGTACGGATTGACTTGATTAATTGAATTCATATAAATTATCCATCATTGATGCGAATTTAAATCTCGGATCAATAGAAAGAGATTTGAGTCACGTGCCCATTCAGTACCAAATGCACGATGTAAACTAGGCCAAAGAGGATCATATAGAGTGGAAGCTGCCATAAGAGCACAATGTTAAATAGCGTGGCCGAGTTTCAGAGCCATCTACCAGCTCAGAGGCCACCCTAAATCCCCCCACTCTTCAATAATATATCGAGAAAAAAATCTTGCTCGCCGGGAATCGAACCCGGCTCGCGCGGATGACGGTCCGACGTCTAACGCACGCGGCTATCGCGTACACTCGGGAATACATAAATGTTAAACACTATATAAGCTGCACGGTGACACACTACACGTAGTGCGTCTCCGAACTGCCAGATGGCACGAATCGCGGTACTCGGCCAGCTTCCACTCTATATGATCCTCTTTGAACTAGGCCATAGTTCAGCGAAAAAAGTCGTCACGTGGTCATTTTTGTCGCTCTCGTACGATCAGTTTCAGCGGCACGTGAAGATGCACCTTTACGCTGTGTGTGTATGCGCGCGTAAACAAAAATGGAACGTTGATCTTGATGTCAGGTGCAGTGTGTAATATCGCAGGCGTCTATGCTATATGTACATTAGAGGTTAAGTGAAATTCGATTTTGATTGATCTGTAAACGTACGATGGAGCTGGGTCAAGAGGACGATCAAGGCGGACTGCGCGTCGACGGCAGACGCGCGTTGGAATTAAGACAGATCCGTATGCGAATGGGAGTATTCGGGCAAGCCGACGGCAGTGCGTACATAGAGCATGGCAACACGAAGGTTCTAGCCACCGTGTATGGTCCTCATCAGGTGTGAACGTTTTTAAATGCAAATCAATGATTGCACTTGGTTTTGAGATAAATTATGAATGCAAAAGAGCTTTCGGAGCTTGGGAACTGATGGAAATGTTTCACCGACATAGTAAAATTTTGCTGAAATATATAGAAAATTTTCTCTCGAGACTCAATTTCATTATTTCTTCATCAATATTTCTGCATAAATTCAATGCAGAATTATATTTTTAATTAAGAAGTAACACAATTCAGTACATTTCTGTGTTTTTGTTAATAATAGTTTTAACAGTATACTTTGACTTTTCTTACGTTTAACAATTTTACAGGGACAACTGTGATTTATTTCAAGATATAGTGGTTTTTAACTTTTATTTCATTTTTCCTCAATTTTGTAGTACTTTCAGTAAAATATTTCCATCAGACAAGTACACCGATGTGACAAGCTTTTCCCATCTGTTGCTTCTTCCATATCTTTCTATAATTATTATATTTCTCCTTTCCAAAGTGCAAGTATATTCCTATTGACTGAATATTCGTTTACCTCAATATTTATCTCGAGCTATTCCATATAATATTTGTGTATCTTTGTTACGTGATTTAGTCAAGAAGCAGCGCGTCGAGGAGCAGCACGAAGGCTACCGTAAATTGCCAGTACAGCATGGCCGTGTTTAGCTTCACTTCCGGTGAACGAAAGCGAAGACCCAGGGGAGATTGGAAATCGCAGGAGAGATCGGTGCAGTTACGCCATGCCATGGAGGCCATAATACACTTGGAACTGTATCCGCGCTCTCAGATCGACGTCTTTGTGGAGGTCCTACAGGTCGACGGTAGCGACTATTGTGCATCCGTGAATGCCGCGACGCTTGCATTAGTCGACGCTGGAATTCCGATCAAGGTTGACATCTGAAGGAGGCAATTTTACCTTTAGCACAAAATACAAATGCCATGTCATGTACAAAATGAATTTCTGATTATAGAATTATGCTATCGGCTGTTCTGTAACTCTCGTCAACAAGCCGTCAACAGAAGATGAAGATAAGACATTAGCGACGGGAGTACTAGACGCGAACTTTGTAGAGGAATGTTCGCCAGGAGTTACCTTGTCCGTTGTCGCGTTGCCGGGAACGAACAGTGACGTTGAAGCGAATGGGAGTGGTTTAATAGTAATAGCACATGGGGCAGGGCAGAGATTGCATTTGTCACGTTTGGAAGCACTCAAGTACCGCGCATTAAAAGGTTGCCAGGATATAAAGAACATATTGGATCGTGGTGTGAGGCATCATTTAACTGCGAATCTACTGCCTTCTTTTCTACAAAATTCGCTTGACTAGTGGAAAAGGGGATGATCTCACTCGGGACTCTTAGAGCTTATGTAATTTAATAGTCTTATAATAATCTTAAACAATCATGTATATACACAATCTAATAAAAAATTACTTTAAAAAATTAACAATTCTGAATTTCTCTTGTAGAAAAATATTTCGCTATTTCTCAGTTAAATAACATTCCATTTGTGAAATGTATTCCTCGAGAAAGAAGACGGGATTAGATTGCAGCACCAGGATATCTTTCCATGATCATTCCAACTCCCTAGGGGAAAAAAAAAGATAAAAATTACAAATCCAAGAAGGTAATTCATATAGTAATTAATAATTTCGAAGATTAAGATCAGACAAAAACTATCGACTGATCTTCTTCGCAAGATCGTATCTCAATTTTTTCGCAATTTCTGGTTTTTGTGCTTGAACGCTCGTTCTGGATCCGAAATTAAGCACAAACGCCGAAAATTGTATAAAATCGAGATACAACCTTGCGAAAGAGATCAGTGGCTATTTGCGTTATGTAACGATATTAAGTATTTTACTTGTCCGCCAGCCGCACAGGCCGAGATAAGTCCAAATTGTTGGTCCTCTTTAATAAGTCTATTAGCAGTGTGCGCCGCCAGCCGTACTCCGGTGGCGGCAAATGGATGCCCGATCGACAAGGATCCTCCCCAAGCGTTCCACTTGTTCAGATCTGGTACTCCGATCTTTGAACTTCTCTTTAGATAGTTCTGCGCGAAGAAATCAGAATCCATTGCTTTCAAATTAGCGCATATCTGTCCGGCAAACGCTTCGTGTATCTCCCACACTCCTATATCTTTCAATGTTAATTTTGCTTTATCTAGAACCTGCAAATAATTATGTGTATGAATCTTACTTTATACATTATATTTGTTATTATATAAAATATACATTATTCATTTGTGCGCTGCTTAGTAAATGAACGAAGAGTTTTGAGTTTAAAACCAGCCACGAACACCTCTGGTTTTTTTTTCGAACGCCACCTCTCAAGGGGAAGTGGCAACCCCTTTAGGGGTATAGCAGCCCTCCAGGCTACAGGTTTGGGTTGGCTAATGCTTTGGTTTGATACGCCGTCGAACTCGAAAATTTTCATTATCCCCAGTAAGTCGAAGAGAAATAGCTCATCGACAGCTTATGCTTACTTTGAGGTAGCCCGAAATCATACCTTCGGTATTGCGTACGATGGTCCTAGAAGCAGTTGATTCACCGGATCTTGAGAGACATACACAAAGGTACGCAAGTATGCCTTGGGTTTCAAACCAAGTTGTAGAGCTTTGTCCTCGCGCATTATCAACGCTGCTGATGCACCGTCGGTCAAGAAAGAGGCATTTGCCGCGGTGACGGTTCCGTAAGGTTTAACAAACGCGGGTTTCAACTTTGCCAGTTGTTCTTCTGTAGATACGCGAATACCGTTGTCTTTATCGACGACTTTATCAACGTTCGGCACTACAATGCAGAAATGTAAAACGAACCGTGTAAGTGTACAATGTTCAATATCGTAGGAATTAAATTAACCATTAACTTAACTAAATAATAAATTAGTATGGCTCATATGTGTTAAACACAAATTTCAAAGAATTTAAAGGACTCAGAGCCGTGACAGGGTGGCAGTGTCTAAATATTCTATTCTAAGTTTATTGCGAAAAAACTTAACTAAATAAATTAACCGTAACCGACACTGGTGGGGCATCCCATAAACGTATCCCACCGATAGTTGGTGCAATTTTTTTATATCATTCCTTTTGTAGAGAAGGTAGATTTCAGTACTTTGTTTACCGAAATTTCGTTCATCATATATTTATTCTTTCTACGCGTATACTTTGCTTTTTGTACCGCTTTTTAAAAAGGTAATTTTGTTAAGATATTTCTCACATAAGCAACGTTGTTCACTTCCGTGTATTCTCAACGTCGGTCCGCGTCTCACAATAGGAGGACGCGCACCGCGGACAAGCGTTCGTAAATGGAGATACCGTTTGTGTTTAGGGTAAGTTTGTGTCCCGCTCCAGATCTGGCCAGTGTAGTTAACGGTTAATAATATAAATTAAATATTGAAATATTCGTATACCTTTATAAGGTACTACATCCGACAGTAATCCCTGTTGCTGTGCTCGCGCAGCTAAAGTGTGCGAACGCAATGCGTAATCGTCTTGCTCTTTGCGTGTAACGCCAAACGCTGCTGCTAAACGATCGCAGCTGTGTCCCATAGTTTCACCGCTTGAAAACTCTGCCACAGCTGGTAGCTATACAAATGTAAAAATGTATACATACGGTGTCCCGAAAGTCGGGGATAAGATATTGCAGCACGAGAAGTTGTAAAAAATTAACTAATGAAAGTGCGCTCCATGTTTTTAGACAAAGCAGTATTTCAAGTATATGAGAGTTGAAATTATAATTAATCGTAATCGATTAAAGACTCATCTGTCATTTGTCGACGATCACGAGTGCGTTTGACATCTAGTAGCATCGCAGGCACGACACACGGACAGAAATGATTGGTTATATTATAAATTCTTATATACTTAAAGTACTGCTTTATTTTAAAAGACGGTGTGGACTTTTATCACTTAATTTTTCGTCAACTTTGGTGCTGCAATTTATTACCCACGGATTTCGGGACACCCTGTGTAACGTAATATTCTCACACAAAACACGAATATCATTTTCTTACAGAAAAACAATACAAAAAGATTATATACAACTTACATCGGGTACGAAATGTTGTGGTCTGATACTGGCCAAGAGACCTAGCTTATTTGGCAAAGTTTTCGCCTTGTTCGCTTGCAGCATCAGAGATCTCATAGGTCGACTATGCCGAATTGGAATATCCGACATAAATTCCACCCCACCTGCCACAATAGCGTCGTAAGCGCCATAACCGATTAAAGCCATACCAGTAGTAATAGCCTGATTACTGCTAATACACGCCATTGTTACTGTATGTGCAGGGATATGTTCGCTATATCCCGCGCCAATGGCGGCCTCTCTCCCGATATTGGAGGTTCGTACTTCTTGCATCACTGTGCCGTAGATAATATAATCGATTATCTCCTTGGGAAATCCAATTTTCTTCTGCAAGCTCCTATAAATAAGAAATGCTTTACTTTTACAAGTAACACTTAAGCGGTTACAACACTCTAGAGTCCACTCCAAAGAAAAAAAGCCAAACTTCGGTGACTTTCTCAGGAACATAATAAACATAGATGAAAATCTATTTAATCCTTGTAGGAAACCATCCGACGTGAGATATTGTTTTGATATTTTATTATTTGCCCGACTCATCGCTTTCCCTTGTTCCTCGTCTTTGAAAGCGATGTGACGGTCGCGTGACTCAATAATCGGGAGGTAACGGCGAAGATGACAAATATATATACACTGTGTGTCGGTCGCCGAAGGAGACTCGGATAAAGAGACTCAAGTAAAGCGAGCTGGCCTCTGGCGCCGCCATTTTGTTGAGGAAAAATTTATAAAAAATTCTTTTTACACTTCAATGTATAGAGAATAGTAAGGATTAAACAGATTTTCATTTATGTTTATTATATTCTTGAAAACATCATCAAAGATTGGCTCTTTTTGGGTGCTCTAGAGTATTGTAACTCCTTAAAGGCAATGAAAAATTTCAGTATACGTGGAATGATCTTAAAGGCATTTTGGAAATATTTAGAATTACTTCTGTATTCTAATTATAATTATTCACATTGATTGATCAAATTGAGGTTAACTTACACCAACGAATGTCTTGCGAGATCATAAGCCAGAAGGTTCTTGTAGTAAGTACCAGATTGCAAAAATGGAGTCCGCACTCCATCGACGAATACAATGTTATTGGAGGCATCGCTTTTTGTCGAATAAGTCTTGTTTATGAAAATTCCAGAATAGCGAGTGAAGGCTTCTGCGAAAGTAATAAAAAAAGTACTGTGAATATTGACAGTGGCAGTGCACGATATGTAAATGACACATAACTATACAGTGCAAGTAGGTGTTATAAGAAGGAGAACATTAATTTGAGTATAAATATACTCTTCTTAATAGGTACTCCCGTGGACTTTGTACCGGCAAATCTGCGTTTAACAATTTAGATGTAACATTTAATTGACTGCAAAAGAAAATTACGCCATACCATAATTAACAATTCCCTGTCGCGCCGCAAGGCAATTTTTCAGAAGAGGAAGCATATTGTGCGAGAGACGAATGAGACCTCCTTTTTTTTCCGATTATATGGTGCGCCCAGCACGAACGTTGAAAGACAGCAACTACGAATAACCACGAAACACTTGACTACACTGAAACTGAACTTTGATACTTTGATCCGCAGCATGACCATAGACCATGTAACACTAGAGACCAGCTTTAAGCCTCCGCTAGAGCTACTAGATAAAGGGGAGCTGACTCGTCCGCCATCTTGGAGCCCAAACGTTTGACTTTAACAAATGCATTTCGGCACAAGATATGAATTTCTTGTGCTAAATTAATTGTTAATAAAATTCAAATTACGTCTTTGTTTTTGGAAAGCTATATTTTTATTTATTTACAAATTAAATTAATAATATAGCTTTAATAATTAATTAAAAATATAGCTTTCCAAAAACAAAAACGTAATTTGGATTTTATTAACAATAAATTTAGAACAAGAAATTCATATCTTGTGCCGAAATGCATTTGTCGAAGTCAAACGTTTGGGCTCCAAGATGGCGGACGAGTCAGCTCCCCTTTATCTAGTAGCTCTAG